GCTATATTCCCTTGTATCTAATATGCTTAATTTCCGTTCCACTGCTGATATGAGTACACAGGATTTCTTGGGTCGGATGGAAGCTTTACAGCAGGAGTATCATAATTTACTTCCGTATCAGGAGACGTCAGACAGTCATATGAAGCAGTATGATAAGTTCTTTATGGTGATGACCTTGGCTACCCTTCGGCCTGACCAGGTTCACATACGTGATCAGATTCTATCCAGTCCTAGTGTGCCTACCTACACTGACGCTGCTGCCAGACTGCTCCGTATTGCCTCAACTCCCTCGATTGAACCTATTGGAGAATCATCAGTTCTAGCTACTCGGGCTGTGGATAGAGGACCTTCTGGACCATCTAGTGGTGGTGGTAGTCGTCGTGGCAAACGTCCTCGGTGTGAATACTGCCACAAAGATGGTCATACCAAAGATCGTTGTTGGAAGTTACATGGTCGGCCTCCCCGTTCTGTTAATCTGGTCCAGGCTGCTGCATCCGAGAGTCAGACTCATGAGCCAACCTCTACCCCAGTTGAGATGACCTCTAGGGAATATGAAGAGTATCTCCAACTTAAAGCAGCATCCCGCCTTGAATCTTCCACACCTAATGCTGGTACTTCATCTTTGGTTTGTCTTTCACACGCCAATACTCTAAATTCTTGGATATTGGACTCAGGTGCTTCAGATCATATTTCCGATAACCTTTTTCTTTTGCATAATGTGTCTAAGTCTAAGACTTTACCCATGGTCACCTTAGCTAATGGTCATCAAACACCAGCAATTGGTGTTGGTCAGGCTTCCCCTATATCGTCTTTTTCCTTGGAGTCTGTTTTATATGTCCCTAACAGTCCCTTCAACCTCATCTCTGTGAGTAAAATTACCCGTACTCTCAATTGTTCCATAACCTTTTGTGCTGATTCGGTTGTTGTGCAGGATCGCAGTACGGGGAAGGTGATTGGCACCGGCAATGAGTCACAGGGCCTCTATTACATGCGGGGTGGTGATGTTGCTGCTTCTGCCTCTACAGAGTCTCCTTTACTTATTCATAGTCGTTTGGGTCATCCTAGTCTCTCTAAACTAAAACGGATGGTCCCAGGTCTGTCTATTGAGTCTTTTGATTGTGAGTCGTGTCATCTTGGAAAGCAATCACGTCAGTCTTTTCCGAGAAGAGTCAATAATCGGGCTGCGTCCCTCTTTGATTTAGTTCATTCAGATATATGGGGTCCTTGTCGTGTCAACTCTATTTTGGGTTTTCGTTATTTCGTAACCTTTATTGATGATTATTCAAGGTGCACTTGGATTTTCCTTATGAAAGATCGTTCTGAATTGTTTCACATTTTTCAAACTTTTTGTGCTGAAATACAAACTCAATTTGGCAAACTCATTCGTGTTTTGCGTAGTGATAATGCTAAAGAATATCTCTCTCATCCTTTTCAGTCATATATGACATCTCGTGGTATATTGCATCAAAGGTCATGTGTTTACACACCTCAGCAGAATGGGGTGGCTGAGCGTAAGAATAGACATCTAGTAGAAATTGCCCGTACTATGTTGTTACACTCCCATGTTCATTCCCAATTCTGGGCTGATGCTATCCTTACTGCTTGTTACCTGATCAATCGCATGCCATCTTCTGCCCTTAACAATGACACCCCATATTCCATTGTGTGTCCTTCTGTTGATCCTTTCCCTATTCAACCTCGTATTTTTGGGTGTGTTTGTTTTGTTCATGACATGACTCCGGGTCGATCCAAATTAGATCCTAAAGCAGTCAAGTGTGTCTTTTTGGGTTATTCCCGTGTCCAAAAGGGTTATAGGTGTTATTCTCCAGCACTAAAGCGTCACTTTGTGTCCGCAGATGTCACCTTTATTGAGTCCACACCATTTTTCCAGTCCTCATCAGGAGACACGATCCCTGTCTCTGAGGTGCTCCCCGTACCTTATCTTGGTCCACTTCCTCTTGTCCAGTCCACTGTTCCTCCAGCTCAACCGACTCCTCTTAACCCGCCCCTTCAGGTTTATCACCGGCGTCCTCGCCCTGCAGTTCCTGAGGTCCCTAGTGACTTGCCAGTACTGTCCGATCCTCCGGCTGCGGTTCCACCACTTCCACTGCAATCTGACGCTGATCTCACTGAGGCACCTATTGCTGTTCGAAAAGGTACACGTTCTACTCGTAACCCCCATCCTATATATACCTTTCTGAGTTATCACCGTGTCTCGTCCCCTTACTTTGCATTTCTTTCTCACCTATCTTCTGTGTCTATACCCAAATCCACTCGTGAGGCTCTCTCGGATCCAGGTTGGCGTCAAGCCATGTTAACAGAAATGGAGGCCCTCCAGTCTAGTGGCACGTGGGAGTTGGTTCCTCTTCCTCCTGGTAAAACTGTGGTTGGTTGTAGATGGATTTATACGGTGAAAGTGGGCCCTGATGGCGCAATTGATCGTCTTAAGGCTCGTCTGGTGGCAAAAGGCTATACTCAGATTTTTGGTTTGGATTATACTAATACTTTTTCCCCGGTTGCTAAAATTGCTTCAGTTCGTTTACTTTTGTCTTTGGCAGCCATTCATCATTGGGACTTACACCAGCTGGATATCAAGAATGCCTTTCTTCATGGTGATCTTCACGAGGAGGTTTATATGGAGCAACCACCTGGGTTTGTTGCTCAGGGGGAGTCTGGTATGGTATGTAAACTTCGCCGTTCTTTATACGGTTTAAAGCAATCTCCACGAGCTTGGTTTGGAAGGTTTAGTTCTGTGGTGTGTGAGTTTGGTATGACAAGAAGTGCAGTTGATCATTCTGTTTTCTATCGTCATTCTAATGAGAAATGCATATACCTTGTAGTATATGTGGATGACATTGTTATTACAGGGAGTGATCAAGAGGGCATATTTCAGTTGAAGGAGTATCTCTTTAGTCGGTTCCAGACTAAGGATTTGGGTAAGCTAAAATACTTTCTTGGAATTGAAGTGGCTCAATCTAGAAGTGGTGTTGTTATTTCTCAAAGGAAGTATGCTTTGGATATCTTAGAAGAAACTGGCGTGCTGGACAGTAGACCGGTTGATAATCCAATGGATCCGAATGTTAAACTCCTACCAGGACAGGGGGAGCCATTGCCTGACCGAGAGCGATATAGGAGATTAATTGAAAAACTGAATTATCTCACGATCACACGACCGGATATCTCCTTCGCAGTTAGTGTGTTGAGTCAGTTTCTTGAGACACCTTGTGATTCTCATTGGGATGCTGCTGTTCGTGTTCTAAGGTATATCAAGAGAGCACCAGGACAAGGCTTAGTATACGAAGATAGAGGACATTCACAAGTTGTTGGGTATTGTGATGCAGATTGGGCTGGTTGCCCGTTTGACAGACGCTCTACTTCAGGTTATTGTATTCTCATTGGAGGTAATCTCATATCTTGGAAAAGTAAGAAGCAGGATGTGGTTGCTAGGTCCAGTGCTGAAGCAGAATATCGAGCCATAGCGCTTGCCACATGTGAGCTTATGTGGCTTAAACACCTACTACAAGAATTGCAATGTGGCAATGTTGCCCAAATGACGTTGATATGTGACAATCAAGCAGGTCTACACATCGCGTCAAATCCTGTTTATCATGAGAGGACTAAACACATTGAGGTTGACTGTCACTTCATTAGAGAGAAGATTGTGTCAGGGTGTATTAAAACTAGCTTCGTTAATTCTGCAGATCAGTTAGCTGATATCTTGACGAAATCCCTTAGAGCTCCTAGAGTTGAATATATTTGTAACAAGCTGGGAGCTTATGATCTATACTCTCCAGCTTGAGGGGGAGCGTTGAAACCCTAGGCCCGTTACAGTGGGCCCATTAGGTTATAGCTAGTTTTCAGTATAAATTATTGTAATCTGTACAGTTCTATGTCAAGAAATTGATGAAACCCTTCACACTTTCACAATATCAATTCAATACTTTTAACACAATAATAAGTTACCAACACAATATAATATTTAATCTAAAACAAAAGTTACACGCACTCTTTCAAGAAGTATTTTGCCCATAGTTCTCGAATCTCATTTATTTTGTTGATAGAGTACAGATTATTGGCTTTCAAAGTTCTTGATTGAAAAAATAAAAAATAAAAAAAAATAAAAAAATGCCTTCAAAATAATTTAATTAATAAATTATTAAATATATTAATTAATAAAATATATTTTAACGAGTTAATTTCGCTTTTGGTCCTATGATTATTGGAGTGTTGTCAATTTCAGTCCACAACTTTCAAAACTAACAATTTAGTTCCTTAACTATTCAATTTTTATCAATTTTAGTCACTCCTGCCAAATTGACGACCAATTGTCGCTAATTTTTATCCATATCCCACCTGTCTCTGTATTAATTCAAACAATAGTTCACAAATTAGCTCCCATTTTAACACTGAATTAAAGGATTCCGACAATAATTGACCAATAATTTGATCGAATTGACTAAAATTGATAAAATAAAAAAAAAATGAATAGTAACGGTACTAAATTGTTAGTTTTGAAAGTTGTGGACTCAAATTAACAACACCCCAATAGTCATAGGACCAAAAGTGAAATTAACTCTATTTTAACTATACATAGTTCTATTTAAATTCACTTATCCCATCCAAATAATCAATAGATGAATATTTTGTCACGATGTCAAACATGTATCGCATTATATAATATCCACACTCAACACCTTCCGGTTGTATCGGCCATCGGGCACTACAAAACACATATATATTTTAGTAATTTAAACAAGTTATTATAATTCAAAATATCACACTAAACCTTTAATTCAATTTTCATACATACTTTGCATTGCTTCCAATTGATGTTCCTAACCCGTCTATTCGTAGGAACATAGCGAAATGCCATATATTAATTATAAACATACATAAAAATTTATAAATTTATTTATAAATAATATAATAGAAGTTAAAATACTTATATTAATAAAAGGTATTTACTTGCATATTCAGAGTAGCTTTAATTTCAATGGTGTGATCACAAGGCAAGGGATCCAAGACATATACGCTTTTTGAGCATATGCAAATCATCAAAAGTAACCAATGAGATCTGTTGGGAAAAATACGTTCAAAGCTGAAAGACTTTTTCCTTGTCCTAATTTCATGGGAGCTCATGGTTGTTATCTACACAATTAGTGTGAACGTGGAATGGGGAAACAAAGTCAAGGTCTAAGGTTTCCTACTTTTTTGTGAATGCAGGGCTATGTTTAGAGCTCCTTTAGTATAAATAAAAGTTGTGTCCTTCACTATTCATGATGCACTCAAAAAGGAATTTTCCTTTTTTGACTTTCTTCACTTCGTACATACCCTCCAGTCCGAGCATATATATAGTCAGGTTCGCCTACGTGGTTGCTAGTGCAAGCTATCCGTAGTAGGTCTGTGTAGCCTGTCGAAAGCGTGCCAGGGTTCTAACTGCACCGTTACCGGGTAAATAATGCTTTTAAGGCAGTGTTATTATAACACGGCATAGATTTCCTTTCAACCATACACCCTTAGTGTTCGTGCTTCTTAAAAGGCTTCCAGATCGCGCGTTGACGTTGCGTCTATTTTCCAACAGTTAAAAGCGTTATTTCAGCAACAGTCAACTACTTAAATCATGAAGCAAATTATAATAATTTTTTGGCGACATGATAGTGTAGCAACAACAGAGATTAGCAGTGGAAGACAACAGTTTCATACAAAACAATACTGGTGAAGCACACTGCTTCGGCTTATGTGTAACCTTTAAGCAAGGGAGTACAACATAAATAATTATTGGGTTCATATCGGAGCTTTGACCATACTCCGATGAGGTTTGTCTCCTCATATTTTAATATGACACATGCATACTTATATTATAATATACTATCATATGCAAATGATTATCTTGAGCATTAGTAGTCATATATTATGCATATTGACCATGTTCCCTTAAAACTATCATAATTTAGAAGATGGTTTGCCTATATCTTTGCATTCAATTGATTATTATCTTTTGAGTGCATGTGAAACGTGAAATATATATTGTGACAAGCATTTTAGAAATCACCATTTCATATTTTGTATGGTGAGTGCTTTGAATATTATATAGAAAATTAACAGTGGTGTACACAAAGATAAGTGAATTGTTATTATTCACATGTATGAGCTTTATGAATTTGTTTTGTTAGAAGTGTTGATTTAACACTACCGCTAAGTGATTGAATCATCAATATGATATAAAGCATATAAATTGTATACTTATGCACATGTTAATTTACAACATTATGTGTTATTATTGTGGATATGTTATAAACATTGCACTATTTGATGAAATACATATATGCTTTATAGTCACTTAATCCTAAATGTCTGAATTGTGTACTGAGACTAAATTCTAAGGTTTTACTTACATTGTGGTGGTAAAATGAAAAAGTCATCCTTCTTGAATACTCTGTCTAGGAAGATGGTTTTTAAGTAAACTTCGGTTTCACCACTCGACCTGGGAGTTTTTTAAGAAGTAGGGTGTTGATCATGTAGGCTAGTTAGAGCGCCACTTGATCTTCACCTGAAATGAGGTTGACTTTCATATATTGTTAAATAATCACAGTCTTGCAATAGAAATTGTTGAAGTACTGCAATAGTAATATTGATCTGCATCATATGAATGCTTTATATGAGTTTTAATCTCCTCAAGTGAAAGAAAATTTGTGCAGGTGGTAACTTTGAATTCTCCCTGTTGAGAAATATTTCCTAATAAATGTTTGTTTGAACATATTCTTTGTGTATGAGATTAATTTCTTATAAGAATATGATGTAAAATTTGTGATTATGTTGTTCAACTTGAAGTAGCATGTGGACAACATTATCTCTATGGCTTACTAACAATGAGCATTTATATATAATATAATATATACATTATTTAAATTCTTGGTTGAGTCATCTTGAAAGATCTATAATTCCTGTTTAAAGGGTAATTATGATGGGTTGAGATAACCAAATTTGTTGAAATATATTCAACTATTGAGTATGTATTAGGAAGTGCGAAGCTACTAGAATGCTCCACAAAGAAAATCGGCAAAACCCAATCTACAAAGGAGCTAATGTTGGGCACCAAAAGATCAGCCTGGGTAAGAGATCAAATACATTTGACAAAAATATTTGTAAGTGCTGCTTTGTAGGGGTGATTAAATCCTTATATTTTCACCAAAAGTTTCTCTGTGGTATTGAGAATAATGATGAAAGAGAATGTTTCATGTTAAGCGTGAAAATCTCAAGGGATTATTTACGAGTAAACGAAGTACTCGTCAAAGTGCATGTAAGTTTGATCAAGAGAATCAACTTACTTGAAGGCTAATTATGAGGATTAGTCGTTGAATCATTGGAAGGACTTAAAGTCCAAGTGGTAATGAATTCGTGGTGGGTCCCACTTTTGTGGTCAAACGAAGCCATGAAAAGAGTTACAAAATAGTACACTAGTTGGTCATTCCTACAATGTGTGTACTTGTGAGGTTGAGCTACAGCTCTTAATGAATTCATAACTCTTTGAGAAGGGTGGTTTAATTTTGTTGAGACAAACCTAATGAATTCACCGCATAATGACATGGTTACAAAAGTGCTCTTGGTGACTTATACTCAATTGGGGTGGTCTATTTTGAGGTAGATCAGACCTAAAGAGATCCCTGATTTGAGTGGAAAAGGCTAACCGCCTCTTATGAAAGATAATGGGGGTATCCCAAGAAGCTGAGTGGCTAAGAAATATGTTGATAACTGTGCAGTCGTGGGGGTGTCCAACACCTTTACTACATATACATTGTGATTCACAAACTTTCGTTTGCATTGCAAATAACAGTGCCTATGATAGAAAGAAAGGAATTACAACTGATTTATGTCTTTAACTACTCTATAAGCCTTTAATGGTGGTCTATACTGGGATAGACTTGATAGAGTTAAAAGTCTATATTGAGATGGACTTGACAAGACATAAAGATCTATAATACTGATAGACTTAATAGAGTTAAAAGTCTATGTTGAAATAGACTTTGACAGAGTGGAAGTCTATATTAAGATAGACATAACAGACTTGAATATTAAGAGTATTCAAAAGAAGTCAAAGAGTTTGACTTTCCTAGAACCTGCTTCATAGAGTTGGTGTGTGCATTAGAGTTCAAAATTTATCAAACCGATAGTTCAAGATTCATATCACTCTCTGGAAGAAAATTACTCAATATCACTATGTGTCAGTTCAAGTTCTCAAACACTGGCGTTAAGATCAACTCGGTTGTATTGCTCAGACATTATCCTTTCTAGCCTTCTACGTTGAACGTGTGGGGGATTGTTGGGAAAAATACGTTCAAAGCTGAAGGACTTTTTCCTTGTCCTAATTTCATGGGAGCTCATGGTTGTTATCCACACAATTAGTGTGAACGTGGAATAGGGAAACAAAGTCAAGGTCTAAGGTTTCCTACTTTTATGTGAATGCAGGGATGTGTTTAGAGCTCCTTTAGTATAAAAGTTGTGTCCTTCACTATTCATGATGCACTCAAAAAGGAAGTTTCCTTTTTTGACTTTCTTCACTTCATACATACCCTCCAGTTTGAGCATATATATAGTCAGGTTCGCCTACGTAGTTGCTAGTGCAAGCTATCCGTAGTAGGTCTATGTAGCCTGTCGAAAGCGTGCCAGGGTTCTAACTACACCGTTACCGGGCAAATAATGCTTTTAAGGCAGTGTTATTATAACACCGCATAGATTTCCTTTCAACCATATACCCTTAGTGTCCGTGCTTCTTAAAAGGCTTCCAGATCGCGTGTTGACGTTGCGTCTATTTTCCAACAAGATCTACATTTACAAAACACACATACATATTAAAAATTTAATATCTAATACTTCGAATAAAGTTATTAAGTTATATTAGTAAAGTAAAAGAACAATTTTCTTACCCTTGATGATATGAGGCTAAAATAAATTGTTTATTTTTTTGCTGCTCCATAACGTGAATGAAATATGACGTAACAGCGGGAACATTTCGTTTAACCATATCCTTTGAAATATGAGTCGGATAGATAAACCTGATTGACGTGACTTGAAACTGATTGCACAACCAATTAAGAAATCTGAAAATTAACAAATAATAAGATTATTCACGTCAACCAACTTAAGGTCCTTTATCGACACAAGCTTTTTAATATTCAATGAATAACCAGAAGGAACCTTGACACATTTTAAACATGCACAAAAACTTGTTTTATCTTTTTTTTTTTTTTTTTTTTTTTTGGATAAAGTATGACAAGTTGGAGGTAAGTATGTCTGCTTTCCCGATTCTTGTGGTGCTAACTTTTCACGTATTCCCATTTCAACCGTATCCTTTCTAGCCTTAACACCATCTTTCGTCTTTCCTTGAATGTTCAACAATGTCCCAATAATGTTGTCACAAACATTTTTCTCAACACGCATCACATCAAGACAATGTCTAACTAATAAATGCTCTCAATATGGTAGATCCAAAATATAGACATCTTCTTCCAGATATAGTCTTTTGAGTAATCTTACAAATCTTTCCAAAATCAACATCAACATTCTTAACACGTTCACCGCATGTCCAGATAAAGACAAACGAGCTACTCGAGTATCAGATTTTCCATTAAAACCTTGTTTCTTCCTCCGATAAGGATGACCAGTATTGAGAAACAGGGCCGGTCCAAATAAAATTGCGGTCATGTGCAATATTTTAATTTGGACCATTTTTTCAAGTAATTTTTATATATAATAATAGTTGTTCAAAAAGTTGTGTCAAAAATTTAAAATATAAATATTGTATAAAAAATACATCTAAAATTTCATTTAAAAAGTGATATGCGTTGTGCACATTTATACACAAAATCATCTACCAAACTTTTGATATCATTGTTGTGCACTCTATCATTTAATTTTTTTTTAATCTCACAATCATCTTGATCTTCTATATGAAGATTAACATCTAACAATTTTTCCTTGGCATCATCTTTTTGCTCATCTATTTGAGTTTTTTTTTTTTTTTTTTTTTTTGTAATGAATTTTTCAAGAGCTCCCTTTTGAGATTGAGTTAGTTGTTCAATTCTTATTTTCTTTGTACGCTTTTCAAACCCAGATGAATATTTTCTAGAAGACATGATTATAAAATCCTAAGGAAAAAAATAAGAATTTATTTAGAAACTCTATGAATAAATAATTAATCAAGAAACGAATTTGTGAATATATTATTCTAAAATTAAAATTATTAAGTCATGTAAATAATGGTACCCAGGTTGGACTTCCATTTGGAAGGTTGTGAGTTCGAGCCTCAGTGGAGGCGTTATTGGTTCTTTGTGTTTCAGCATGTTGAGAAAGTATATGAACAGATACTACAATGTAATAGAGAGTCTTTATCTGAAAGTATATGAACAGATACTACAATGTAATAGAGAGTCTTTATCCCAGATAAGAACTGCCTGGGAGTATCTGCTGAAATTTGAATTGCACTTAAATTACCGTCTTTGCGTCAAATTAGTACAATTACCGTCTTTGCGTCAAATTAGTACAAACAACACTACAGCACACATCAAATTAAATATTAAATATTTACTGCTGAAATTTGAATTGCACTTAAATTACCGTATTTGCGTCAAATTAGTACAAACAACACTACAGCACATATCAAATTAAATATTAAATATTTAAATAAGAACAATTACCTATGAAATTTGTTGTCTAACTTGTCTCTCATCTATCTGTTACTGTTGTCTCACATATGTTTGTGAGATTTTCCTTTGTTAGGGCATCCTCAAACGAACGGACCCGGCGAACGGAGCAAAGCCTTGAACGCAGTTAGGCTTAAGAAAAGAGTAGAAGCAGAGTTTTTGAGGAGAGAAAACACTTCCTGTTTTGTGTGTTCTTTTCAGTATGTGCTTCGAAAATCTGCTGCACTCTACCCCTTCTTATATAGGGATGTAGGTCCTTAATAGCATTAAACAAGGTCATTTAAACTTGGCTTTGTAACATCTAAAACAGCATGCCATTGAATTGCACTTAAATTACCGTCTTTGCGTCAAATTAGTACAAACAACACTACAGCACACATCAAATTAAATATTAAATATTTAAATATTTAAATAAGAACAATTACCTATGAAATTTGTTGTCTAACTTGTCTCTAATCTATCTGTTACTGTCGCCTCACATATGTTTGTGAGATTTTCCTTTGTTAGGGCATCCTCAATAGTTGAGGATTTTTCCCCAGATTTTTGTGAGCCCAACATTCACTTTATCATCCATTATCTCACTCAATCACAAAAATTCTTCTTCTCATTAGTTTTAAATTTTTTCACAACTTTTTGTGCACCCACCATTTTATCTCCATATTTTAAGTTGTAGGTGATAGATTATCTCCATATCTCCAAATTTCTGACATGATTCTTTGAGTTGCAGGCGAAAGATTTTGTCAAAATTTTGCTTTCCCATTTGTCAAAAAGCAACCCAAGGGAACTTTACTGTTCCAAAATTTGGTGATGAACCCTTTATTGGGGTTGCCCTTATGCTAGTAAGCAGTACACCGCTAGGTTAGGAGCTTAGGGTAATAGGGTTTGTCGGTTAAATTGTTCGATGCAGTGGATTAGCGAAATAACATGCACGGTTCGAATGCAGCGAAATATTATATATAATAATTTTTTTTAAAAAAAAAATATGGGGGCCCCAATTTTGGGGGGCCCGGGGCAGACTTGCCTAGGGCCGGCCTTGTTGAGAAATGTCATGTGGCTCATAAACACATTCTTTTTACTATTACTCAACCATAGACGGAGAGTTTTATCTTTACAAATATGACATGCATTAGCTCCTTTAGTAGTATAACCCGATAGGTTACCATATGTTGGGAAATCATTTATTGTGCAAAAAATCATTGCACATCAAGTAAAGTTGATTCGACTATAAGCATCATACACCGGCACACATTCATTCCACAACATCTTTAAATTCTCAACAAGCGGTGCTAGATATACATCTATGTCATTTTTTGGTTGTTTATTTAGGCACTGATATCAACAACGACAACATGATGTATTTTCTTTTCATACACAACCAAGGTGAAAGATTGTAAACTACTAAAAGAACCGGTCAAGTACTATGTCGACGGCTCATGTTACCATGAGGATTCATTTCATCAGTACACAATCAAAGTCTAAGATTTCTATTTTCAGTACCGAATTCAGGTCACCTCCTAACAATATTCCTCCATTGAGGTGAATCAGCTGGATGTCTCAGTTTTTCATCTTCTTTTCTTCATTGCAATTTTTTGTCTCTCTTGGATTGGCAAACATGCGTTTAAATCTTGGTATTACGGGTAAATACCATAATACTTTGGTTGGGGGGACCTTTCTTATTCTCACACGTATCTTTCTTTTTATAACGTGATGCCTCACACTTTGGACACACATGCAAGTCTTTATATTCTTTCCAATACAATATACAATCATTTGGACATGCATGTATCCTCTCAATGTCCATACCCAACGGGCACAATAATTTTTTTGCTTCGTAAGTTGAATTAGAAAGTTCATTATCACCAGGAAGTATGTCTTTTAGTAGTTCTAATAATCTCGTGAAACTCTTACTACTCCATCCATTCTTTGCTTTTAAATTATATAATTTAAGCAAATAAGATAACTTAGTAAATTTAGTACTTCCAAGAAACAAATGTTTTTCAACATTGTCAAACAAACTTTTAAATTTATGAGGCATTTCACTAAAATCTCCATGCACATCACGCATCATATCATCTATTCGGTCATTATCTTCATCATCCTCATCATTGCTAGCATGAGGTGCAATATTCTCCTCATTAAACTAATGAGTTTGACTATTTGCTTGAGTTTCACTGTGTGCATGAGTTTCACTATCTATATGAGTTTCCTTACATGCACTTGTACTAGGAAGTAAGCTAAGTTTTCACCATATCATATCCATTGATCGTACCCTTCCTTAAAACCGCAACGTATCAAATGACTATTCACTTGATCATAACTACGATATCTTCTCAAATTTTTACAATCACAACACAGGCACACAATAAAGTCTTCCGCCTTTTTACTCCTATTTTCTTCAGCATATTGTATACACTCTTGAACCTCTTGCATATATTTGAATGTAGTATTGTTTTCATACATCCAACTCTTATCCATATCTGTCAATTCATAAAATGCTACTCTAAGTACTATGGAGATATGGATACGCAATGATGGACACATTTATAAACGATATTAGGTGATTTGAATTGAAACCAAATTACCTAATTCGTAATCAAAATACCTAATGTATAATCAAAGTATATCTAACTCATCATCAAATTCAATCTAATTCATCAAACTACATAATTCATATTCAATATACACACACACACCTAACTAATCAAATACCTAATTTGTCAAATTACCTAATTCATCAAAGAACCTAATTTGTAATCAAAGAACCTAATTCTTAATAAAAGTACTTTTTTTTTTTTGAAAATCTTAATAAAAGCACTTAATTCATCAAAATACCAAATGTATAATCAAAATGTACATAACTCATCAAATTTAATCTAATTCATTAAACTACATAATTTTTATTCAATATATATACCTAACTAATCAAATACCTAATTTATCAAACTAACTAATTCATCAAAATACCTATTTCACAAAAAATATATATATTATTAAAATTCAAAATTTAATACTTAAAAGCCAAAATTCAAAATAGAATAATAATAATAATAATTCTTGCCCCATAGGTACCAGAGTACCGTGCGTGGTTAGCGGCGGTGGCTGAGGCGTGGGTTGGCAGCTCAGCAGCAATGGCATCGACGGTGGAGCGTGGTGAAGTCGACAGTGAAGGCGGTGGAGCGTGGCAATGGTGGTGGCGATGGAGCCGTGCAATGGTAGTGGCAGTGGAGGTTGCAGTAGCGGTGGCGAGGTCACTAGCGTCGTCGTCCTCACTGGCGTTGAGAAGGAGTGGTGGCAATGGCGGCGTGGAGTTTGGATCTAATCTATTCGAGAAAGAGCGCATCTGCAACACTAAGAACGAAGGAGAGAGGATGGTTTTTATTTGATTTCCTGCCACTATTCCAATAAGAACAGTCACAAAATGTTTGTTTCTTTTATTTTAATATTAAGTTTCCGTGACCGTTCTACGAGGAACGGTCGCGGGAACTAGCCGCTTTTTTTTAGACCGTGAACATTTTATTTAAAAACAATCGCGGATTCTTATTCAAATAATTACAGTTATGCAACCGCGAAATTTTTTAAAGAATACACCACCATTCTTTTTATAACAGTTGCTAAAAGTCAGTCTTCTTTATTCATTTTTGTACTACAGTATATATGATTGTGCTAACTTAGGCCCATCCTCAACCTACTTACTTGTTATTTAATTTTAAAAATTACTCACATTAATTTACTTAGGCCCTGTTTGGTAAAATGGCTGTTAGCTGATAGCTGTTAGCTGTTAGCTGATTGTGTTAATTAGAGGGTATAAATAGTTGATAACAATGGCTGATTGTAGAAAAGTGTTTGGTAAATTAGCTTAGCTGATAGCTGTTTGGTATAATTTCTTTTCTCAAAAAGCTAATTGAAAAAGTTGCTTGGAGTAGCTTTTTGAATTTTAGCCTTTTGAAGTTGCAAAAAGCTAATTAACCAAACATTTATATTGATATTTTAACTAAATCAAATAATTGATAGTGGTCAAATAAGCCAAAATTGACCTATAGGCCAATTTTTTACCAAACAGGGCCTTAGACTATTATACATGTATTTAATGTACTTCATTATATTTTTAATTTTACATTTTATAAAAAAAAATATTATATAAGAATTTGAGAGAATAATTTATTTTTTTTGAAAAAAAAAAATATTAACTATAATATTATTTTTTAGAAATTTTCAAATAAAAGGATAAACATATACGGAGTAACATTGATTGAGATATTTATATATGTGGTGGAAGAAAGATATTTAGAAGATCAAAAATATCTAAGCTGAGGCGTCCACGGTGGCGATCTTATTTGGAATCAGATTTGCACTTTTTCACACTTTATCCCTTTTCTACAATTTATTTATTTTCACCGTCGGCCCCTCATTTTTCCAAGAATCTCCGAAATATCTTCTCGCTTTTCCGATCTTTTCTCTTCCGATCCATACCCGGTAAACCAGGGAATCTGATTTTGCCGTTTGATTGAATACAGAGTATTGGAATAAAAACTGAAAATTTTGATCAGTGATTAAGCTTCAGTTGCCATGGGGGAGGAAGTGAAAATTGGTTACTATGGCGGCGCCGGTGCCGGTGCCGGCGCCGGAGATGAGGATAGGTTGATGGAGTGGGAGGAAGGTCTTCCGAGCATAGATGATCTGACTCCGTTGTCGCAGGCGCTGATCCCGCCGGAGTTGGCAACGGCGTTTCGGATTTGTCCGGAACCGACTAGGACTATGCTTGACGTTAATCGTGCATCGCAGTCGACGTTTTCTTCGCTGCGGGGAGGGCAATCTCAGACGCTTTCGTCTTCAAATAATTTTAATTTTAAGCCGTTTAATGAGGAGAGGAACAGAGAGCAGATGGTTGTGGAGGACGATGTGGATCCGACCCGGGAGGGGTCCGATTCTAGGAAGATGCGGAGGATCGAGTCCTGTGGAGGCGCGGAGGAGGCTGACTCGGCTGTTCGGAATGAGAATTGCGGGGACGATCCGTCGGCGAAGACTCTGAAGAGGCCGAGGCTGGTCTGGACGCCGCAGCTGCACAAGCGGTTCGTGGACGTGGTGGCGCATCTGGGGATCAAAAACGCGGTGCCAAAGACGATTATGCAGCTCATGAACGTGGAGGGGCTCACCCGGGAGAACGTCGCTAGTCATTTGCAGAAGTATAGGCTCTATTTGAAGAGGATGCAAGGGTTATCGAACGAGGGACCTTCGTCCTCTGATCATTTGTTCGCTTCCACACCTGTGCCTCAGAGCTTACACGAATCCGGAGGTAGCGGTTATGGCCACGGAAATGGCCACGGAAACGGCCACTCTCACGGAAATGGACACAGTCACAACAGTAATGGCTACATGGCTATGCCATACCCGCCGCAAATGATGCCTATGCCAATGATTGGCATGGCTGCTCATGGCGGATTACCAGTGGGGAATCCAAATGGCGGACCATCTAATGGCTTTCACCATCAGTATGGTCTGATGCAGCAGAGGGACTGGTCGGGGAACAGATATGGCGCATATAATCACGTTGCTCCCACTGATAAGTAAATGCTGCAGCTTGGCATAAAAATGGATAGAGGTCAGGTTCTTGGTCCTATGAGCTTTTAATGTCAATGTGTGTAGATACTGCTTGTGAAATTGCCAAACTGGACAGTATATGACTAGGTGAATGGAAAATTGATTTTTGTTAAGAGACTTTAGTGCCAAGCAATAGAGGTATATGAATATATGCATTGGTGATCCCGTGATTAGTTTGTAATAATTGGTTCTTATCTTCAATAGAATGTTATTGGCTAAAATATAGTGCTCGTTTTCAGTGTTCTGTTCTTTTTGAATTGATACTTCTTTTTCTCTGATACTCCGTATCTTTTTATATTCATTATGTTAAAGGAGCTGGATATTTATTGTTTGTACTATAGAGCTTGTTTATATGTATACCAATTATGTTTTGTGAAATTTTGGATTTGTTTCTCTTTTAATGTAATTTTATTGAATTTGCCAAATTTGAAACTTGTGAATTTGTGAATTGTCATCATCACCAAAACAGGTTGTTACATTAGTGCATTGTGTTGTTCTGTAGACTAATCATCTCATCTTTTTACTGCTTAATTAGTTGAGTTTGTTGTATGAATATGAAATGCATCTTAGGGATCTTTGCAATGTAGAAGTACATTACCGTCTTAGTATATCACATGTGTGCTAGATGACATTTCATGGTCTTGTAGGCGAATGACCTCATTATCTTTTTTACAGCTTAGTTTGTTATATAAGTAGTGAAAGCCATTTGAGGGACCTGTAGAACTTGAAAGTAGACTACCTTGTTGAAGTATATTGCAAGTGTGCTAGATGACATTATTCATCAACTCCACAGTCTTCATTAACTACTAAACTGCAAATCTGCAATTGTTAAAAGTAAACATGTTGTGTCGAAAATCTGAAATGTTCCTCGTTACTTTGAGTATCTCATTGGTTTTTCTAAATATTCTCTTTTGTTCTACAGTTCTACTCTCGACTCTCATTTAACACAAATAAGTTTCAGCCTTACTGCCAAATGGTGACTCTTGCCACCTGTCAGAGTTTTCGACTTTTTATTTCAGGGAAGGTTACTGCTCATGGAACAATATGTGAACAGTACCCAAACTGTTAACAGTAACTTGAGTACTGTTCATTTTCTATTTTTATTTTCAACATAGACTCAAACAACTTCAACCAATCTCATGTGTCTTTGCTAGAGTCTTCCAATTGTGTTTAATGTTTGGCATTCAATCTTTGCATAAGGTCTTCAAAACTTTCAAATGAGTATGGGAATTGTCACCCATTTTCTCCATGATTTTTCAAGTTTCCTTTCAATGTTTTAAGAATTCCCAAAGAAGTGTTATATTTTTTCTTTCTTCTTCAAGCAGTAGTTGCCTTTGCTGCCTCCGAAGAACCAGTTTTGCATCAAAGAAGTCTTTTCAGGTTTTTTCTTCAATTCTTTTTCAGGATTCCACCGTTTTATAAAGAAACGGTGGACTCAAGAAGCCTTTTTCGGTTCATTCATGTTCATTATGCTCTTTGAGGGGAGTCTCGTATTGGTCTTTCTTTTCCAGGTTGTTAGTCTTGCTCTGATTCCAGTTTCTTTTTTCGAGCTCAAAAATCATATCATTCGTTGCACTTTTACAGATCATATTTTCTGTTTATGTTGTGCATTTTCCCGTATTGAAGACAAGATTGCTGAAGATTTTTTCAATGTTTACTATGCAAGTTGGACATATTGCATATGCTTCAACCAGAGGGAAAATGTTAAAAAACTTAAAAACTGTAAAAGACTCAATTTTATTTTCAAAAAAAAAAAGTAAAAGACTCAATTTTTCTAAGAACCTCTTGGCTTTATATAGTTAGACTATTTGGGTATCTCATAGCCTATAATAGTATAATATTAAGCTCTTATCATCTTTCCATCAATTCATATAGTTACCTTTTGTTCTACTCTTGTGTCTCTTGCTTAATAATACATATAAGCTTCTGTCTTAACTGTGGCTAGTGACTCTTTGCTACTCATAGAACCTTTTGAGTTTTGACTTATTTCTCCATTTTCTTAACAATAAGACATTGTTGTGAAATTAGCACGAATCTCGGCTCTTGAGGCCAAAATAAAAAGGGCAGAAGCAGATTGTGTGGTTGTGATGTGATGCAACTTGTGAAGTTGTGTATCTATTTACATGTACTGTTTGCCAACAATATTCAAAATTTGTGTTTATTAGGTTCACAAGTATTAGAAACCGAGTAGCATGCCAAACTGAAGCATATGTAGCTTGATTTGTAGAGTGGAGCTGAGAGCATGTTGGTTGGGGTTGGCGAAGCAAGGAAGGAAGAAGCTGAATTTGAGAAACATTTTCTTCATTTTGATGAAATCTGAACTAAGCAGGCCGCCCAGTTTCAGTCTACTCTGCAGACAGATGGGTTCTCAATAAATCTCTTATACCTCATCCTGTTCTTCCAGTCATGAATTGCATGTTTTGTGTTACAACTTTCTTTGTTCCTCCTTTTTCTAAGTTTTCATAAAGAATGTCTTAGTTTTGAACCTCATCCCAATCAAAGTTGGCATTATCATGTTTAGCTATATACATAATTCACCACTGAAACCAACACAGCTATTTGTTAGTCTCATGGATCGCAATAATTATAAAATTCATCTCTTTTTTTTTTTTTACTAAAATCTGCAATTATTAATGAACCTTTCTTAAGGTAGTTGAGATCAGTCCGTACTTTTCCCAAGAAAGTTGAATCTCCAATCCTAAGGAGTGGACAGGGCCAAACGCTGGTGTGCATAAGGGATCTGCCCACTTTGAGCATAATTTTGGATTTGCCCAAATTTACCACACTGTCGTTGCCGAAGTTCAACCTTGATCTCTTCTCCCAACTATTGTCTACTCAACCATTGAGCTAAGCCCGTGCAGACAAAAGCAGTCCATACTTTTTTAAAGAAGTCCATATATATATATATATATATATATATATATATATATATATATATATATGTATATGTATGTATGTATGTGTGTGTGTGTGAGAGTGAGAGAGAGAGAGAACTGTGAAGTGAGTAAATAAAATTTTTAATAACTACTATAAGAGTAAAATTTATTTATATTGTAATATTGTCACTTTAGTCTTTATTTTTTCATTACATCATTTACTCCTATTTGTTTGTCACAATTTGTCTTCTATTTAGATTTTTGTATTTAATAAAAATGGTTAAACATTTTAATTGAATAATGACAAAATTAAAAGTATGTGTCAATGACAAAAAATGAAATTTGCTCATTACAAGTAAATACCCAACATAATTAGTGGCATGATTAATAATTTTAAACACAATAAATTATTAATTATAATAAGTATTATACACTAAAATTTAATAAAAATGACATTAAATCTTATGGAAGCAATCCCGGTTCAAAAAACTACACTAATTATTATGAAAGATAATTGTTAAATGAAATGGTATCCTCATACCATGAACAACTCAACTGCTGTATATGTTCCTCAAAACCTTTCACCAAACCTAAAGAATACCGCGCCAGTGCCAGAGTTATGATCAACGGCGTACTCTGCTCGTACTAGACCGAGCTTCACTCCAACGCCATAAGAGGAACCATGACCCATTCGCCTGTAAACCTCTGTAGGGTTCCCTTTCACGTCCTTTGAACTACCGAGATCATTTCCGTGTTCAGCAAATGCATAAACGTGTGTGTTTCTCACAGGTACCCGGAGCTCAGCAGCAAGCTGGAGTTGCATCATAACGAGGTAGGGCATCAGAGTAATGGAATATCAGCATGGCTATAGACAGTTATCTACGAAGTGAATATAACAACGTACCTCGAGTATATTTCTGGCTGCACCTATCTCTCCCATGTTGTATCCCCTTACTGAATATGGTCCCCCGAGTGTGAAGGCATCATAGCTAGCAAGATCTCCAACACAACCGCCGTAGTGTCCATGAAGGACTAATACGGGTGGTGGAGACTTACCAACACCTTCCTCCACTTCCTTCAACTGAATAAATCGGGTCAATGTCAACTGGTGGCGGTTGAAGAAAGGAAACTTGCTTCCGATCCCAAGTCCTTGGTCAAGCTGTAAAAAGATTTAAATAAAATACGCATGTTTGTGTGGCTCTCAACAAAGGTCAAAAAGACCATGAACATATGTATTTTGCTCGTTTCATCTTTTGCATCCATTTTTTCTACTTCGTATTGAAAATCAGGAAGGTTAAAATATCAGAATGTTAAAAGACAAATGATCTTGCTAGCATTGAAATGGATATGTTTTCAAGGACAAAGTATAGTTGAAAGCAGACAGGAATTTTCATCAGAAAACTAATTGGCACTTGTGAGACAAAAGGAAAAATAAACAATGACTAAATCCCTCCTTCTGAACAAGCCAGAGCTATCAGAAAATTCAAATTATGAATTAAACCTGGTGATCATATATAAAATAGTGTTCATCACAGAAAGTCAGCATTATCACATGATTATGTAGAAAGTAGTTATAAAGACTCTGTTCAAAGGTATAATGGAAATCCAGGTTAGAGTTAGAATTAAACAAACAATTCAGTCATATATTACCTGGAATACATTCCTCTCGCCCACTATTGCTCCATTTATGAACTTGGTGTTATCACGAGTGATGTTTGCCTGCAGGAATGCCATCCTGTCAATGCCAGTGTCACTGAGAGTTGTTGGAGGTCCATCTGCACTAATTCCTCCACTTGGCAATACCCTCTGGCCACGAGCAGAAATATGGCTGCTTTCATCACGAGTTGTAATTTCCTCCATCACAAGTCCATAAGTGAACTTGCTTTGACGTGTGAAGTTCTACACCAAAATGATATTTCAGAAAATTGAAAAAGGGGGAAATATATTATTGACCCAGAAATAAAAATCAACTTGAGGAACATGTGAATTAAGTGTTTTCTGCACCCCAAAAAAAAAGGCAATAAAGCATCTTCATTTAAGACGTTGGTAACCATAAATCTACAATCATAGAGAATTAACAAGTATTACTAAACAAGAGACCATTTCAAGTACCTCTGTAATGTTGGCTTTAACTCCAGTTCGGTCCACCCAAATAGGAGGAACTTCATCCACTCCTGGCCCACCTGTGAAGACTGGACTCAATTTTCTGCTGTTGAAGCAGCTAGTGCGGAACGTACGATTACGAGGGTTAGTTACACCATCTAAATATGGATGCACGTACTCTAGCTTAAATGCAAGATCATCCTGCAAGTAATTTTTGGGGCAAATCTTGTCAAAATGCAAAATGTTACAAACATTTTCAAAATGAAAAATTATGAATACTCGATAAAATTACCTGAGGGTTGAAGAAGTTGCTGGTAGTCACTGTACCAAGCAAGGATCTATTTAACCCTTTAATATTCCGATGCTCAAAGGAAACAGTTCCACCAGGTTGAAATGAAGCCTAAACAACAATACCCATAAAAAGAACATGCATCATATGAAGTAACATTAAATACTCCATACTAAATTACATCATCCAAATCAGAATTTTAATTTCTATACCAATGTAGGACGACCTCCACGTCCAGGCACAATACTCCACTCTGTACTGACTTCAGCAGACTTCTGTTCTAATTCCTTCAGCTTAATTTCCACAACAATTCCACCCTCATTTTTTTCATCCGGGCGCGGGTTGACTTCAATATTAGAGAAGAGAGCAAGAGAATTAATGTTCCTCAAAGCCTGTTTCCCCACTTCGATGTTGAAAACTTGTCCTTGACGAAGCTGAATATGCAATCAATAATTCAATATTCAGTAGCCATTTGAAGAACCAATCAAAACTACTTACAAATTCAAAACACCATGAAACCCCTAAATTCTATACTAAATATGCTAATCTAATCAAACAAATTGTCCTAGGAAGAATTTTCAGCTGCAGCCTGCAAGTCCCCCCTCCCTTCCACAACCTCTAGTTTTCACTACTGGCTCGGAATCCAGCAGGTAAACAACACTGTTTAAGCAATAAACTATTATAATTAATAATACTCTACTGTCAATGCAAATCAATCAAATTCAAGTAACAAGTTACTATAATCATCATTAGTAGATATTAACAAGGTTACAGAACTAAGTAAAAAATAAAGATTAAACTACCTGTTTAGGTATTTCTCTCCTCACTACAGCAAGCCGAGTGTTCCCTTCGCATACATTTCCAAGCTTGTCCAGGAACTGAATGGCGAGCTGAGTGATATCACCCTCCACCACTTCGCAAACCACCTCGTCTGTGTTCAAGTTACCAAAGTTCACAACTTGTGCACAGGCATACCCATTTTCGTGGTACCATTGTTGCACCTTGTCCCTAATTCTCTGAAGCATTCTTGCGCTTACACGCCCTCTCATCATATTCAAAATTTCATTTTGCACATTCCCTGGCAGCAGGCACGCCCTGGACTTCTTAATTCTTGTCTGGTATTGGCTCGCCTGTAAACTATAATACTCCTCCATCTCCTTCATTGTCAAGTCCGGATCCGTCTCAATTGGCTTTTCCGGCGGCATCAACCCCACATTGATGCACCGGAAAGATTCGGCAGACCTCCAGGTGCTCTCATAGAAGGGGAAAGTGATAACAACGGTCCCGTCCGATTTCGTTTTCCCCTCCAAATCAACTTTCTCGAACATTCCGCTGGAAGCTAGGGTTTCGAGCTCCTTCTCGAGCTGAGCCTTGGTATAGACCCCACCTGGCCGGAGCGACACCATCTCGAAGAACGAATCCTCACTCCCGAAACTATAGCCGCGTTTCCGATCATAGAAGATGATGTCGGATACTTTATACCTCTTGAATCCACTGAGCTTGGTTAGCTGGACCACAATGTCGGACGGCAAGCCGTGGTTGTCCCACTCTTGCGACTCTTCCTCTCCCGCATTGGCCGAGGGACAGAAAATCTTAGACCATAAATTACCACCTTCACCGCCACCACTTCCTCCTCCACCTCCGCCGCCGCCGCCGCCGCCTCCTCCGCTGGAGCCGCCGCCGCCGCCGCCAAGATTGAAAAGATGCTTAGGCAACCCGCTGGGAAGTAAGAAGAGGCCAGAGCCGAGTACGAAGGATGCTTTTAAGAGACTATTAAACAGTTTGGAGGACAAAATGGAAGGATTTGGCTTATGCGTGGAAAACGAGGGTTCAGGGTTTTGAGAGGATGAGGATAAAGCAGTTCGGTTGGATTTGACTGAGACCGGTGGAAGGGAACGGGCAGCGGGCACGGAGGCCGTTGCCGAGGGCTTAACACGCCGGCGATGGGAATGGCTAACGGATAAAGCGAGACCCGACGCGCCGATCGACGCCATTGCGGTGAGGAGGGATATGGAAAAAAGGTGATTTTACAGTGAAAGCTAATGAGGTTTATGAATTATGAATGGGCTTATCTCCTAGATATATTTCAATAATGAAATATAGTGGACCGGGAGCCCATATATATTGGACTTGCCATATAGTGGCATATACTACTGAATTCCCCATTTTAAAGAAAAAATTGTAATTTATGTCCCATAAATATGTCAATTATAAATATCACCTCTTAATTATTAGTGGTGTAATATTGCCTTTAAATTTTCAAAACATCACATATATTGTCCCTCCTCTTAAGAGGAAGAATGAGAAACATTGTTGTCGGCGGAAGGAGAACAAACGAAAAAAGAAAAATAGACAAAAAGCGTGGTCTTCGAAAAGGAAAAAAAAAGGGTACATAATCACATTTACATCACTAATAATTCAGGGGAGTACAATATATATTACGTTTTAAAAATTGAGGGGTAACATCTACATAACTAATATTTTAGGGATAACATTAATAATTGAAATATTTGTGATGGACATAAATTATAATTTTTCCCATTTTGAAAATAAGGAAACTACCATTTTTAGTTTTTTAATTGTGTCATAAAAAGGGCAAGCATTATTGTATGGACTATGTTCCACAAAATTTATCGTGGTCCATATAGTTGTGTGGATCACGGTCTAAAAATGATATCGTATAGACGTCGTTACTATTTTTTTCGCAAATTATGCTGTGGACTCGTGTCCACAATGCATTGTGGACACGAGTCCAAAACGACGCCGTTTTAAGGGAAAACGCGGCCTTTCAGTTTAAAAAAAAAAATTAATTTGATTTTGTCTCGCTATTAACGGCGTTATTCGTTTGTGGTATTATGAATGTACAGTTATGGAATTATGAATGTAAGTTATGGAATTATGAACACAGAGCTCTGACATTATGAACTTACAATTATGAAACATATAGTGATAAAATTATGAACATAGAGCTCTGAATTTGTGAACATAGAGTTTCGAAAATTATGAATTTACAGTTATTGAATTATTAATGTACAGTTATGGAATTATGAATGTACAGTTATGCAATTATGAACACAGAGCTTTGACATTATGAACTTACAATTATGAACATATAGTGATAAAATTATGAACATATACTCATATAACAAAGTGGTCTGAAATTTTATTTAAAAAAATAATAATAATAATAATAAGTGGAAGAGAACGGTGCCACTAACGGCACCGTCATGCTGGACACGAGTCCATAGCATAACGATTATTTTTTTTTTCACGCTACCTGCATTTTCATAAAACATTTTCATGTCCCGTATGGATTGTATTGAGAGGATATTGTTGGGAAAATTCAAAGGAGAAAATGAAGGGTGAATGGCGCATCATGCGCACTTCATGTGTAACAACGCATATTGCGCTTATTTATGGATGGTATGCGTCCTTCCTTTTGTGGAAGGGATGGGGGGGCTGCTTACTATAAATAGCAGCTCCCAACATCGTTTCAAAACACACCTTGAATTCGAGTCATTTATTCGATTCTCCTTCTCCCTCCCGTCGTCTGAGCAATAGTGAGGTTCGCCTACGCGATTGCTAGTGCAAGCTATCCGTAGTAGGTCTGTGTAGCCGGTCGAAAGCGTGCCAGGGTTCTAACTGCACCGTTACCCGGCAAATAACGCTTTTAAGGTAGTGTTATTATAACACGGCACAGATTTCCTTTCAACCATACACCAATAGTGTCCGTGCTTCTTAAAAGGCTTCCAGATCGGGCGTTGGCGTTGCAATTTTCCCCAACAGTTAAAAGCGTTATTTTGCAACAGTCAACCTTTAGCATTATGACACCTTCTGTCATACCGGATCTATCAAAGATCACCGCGCTTGATGGGAGAAATTACAACAGATGGGCTCAAAGAATGTTTATTCTTTTTGAACAATTAAAGTTGGTTTACGTGCTACATTCAGTTGCACCTGAACCTACTCCAACAGTGTTCTCTCCATTTGGTGCTACAAAATGTAATCATGAACCTGATTACACTCCGGGTGAAGAATCGAGAGAAAGCAGTCCTGAAATAGATTACATTCCGGGTCAAGAACCGGGTGTAACTCTGATTCAATTTAGAAATGACAATGCGGCAGCCAGAGGATACTTGCTGTCACAAATGAATGACGATTTGTTCGACATCTATGTCAAACAAGATTCGGCAAAAGTCATTTGGGAATCACTGTCAGAAAAGTACGGTGCCAATGGAACTGAAAATCAAAGTGTCAGAACCGTATACAACGTAAGGAGTAGAAAAATCAAGAAGTTTAAAGGGAGGTGTTTTGCGTGCAAAAAGCAAGGACACCGAACACACTAGTGCTACCATCACAAGGGCAAAACTAGCAAAAGTCAATCTGACAGAGCAAGATGAGTATTGAGTATTTTTAAATAAATAGTTATTTTGAGTAACTATATTTGCTCTAGTTCTAAAGGGTTCGCATGAAGTATGGTTATCTTAGTACTGAATTCTAGTTGAGCTGTCTAGATTTTGATTACGTAGTAGTACTTATTTCTTTAGTATTTTGAATACTAATGACATTAATTAAAATAATTCGTGCATAGATATATGCTCTTAATTTTATATCATAGGCTTCAATTGTAATTTAGTGAGAACATGGAAAAGTCATCATTCTTGAACACTCTGTCTAGGAAGATGGTTTTTAAGTAAACTTCGGTTTCACCACTCGACCTGGGAGTTTTTAAGAAGTAGGGTGTTGATCATGCAGGCTAGTTAGAGCGTCACTTGATCTTTACCTGAAATGAGGATGACTTTCATATGTTGCTAATACAATCAAAGCCTTGCAATAAAAGTTGTTGAAGTACTGCAATAGTAATATTGATCTGCATCCTATGAATGCTTTATATGAGTTTTAAATTCCTTAAGGGAAGGAAAAATTTTGCTAGTGGCAATTCTGAAATCTCATTGTTGAGAGACATTCCGAATAAATATGAACTCAAACATATTCCTAGTTAAAGGGTAATTGTGATCAATTGAGATAACCAAGTTTGTTGAAATATATTCAACTGTTGAGCATGTATCAGGCAAAGTGCGAAGCTTCTATAATGCTACACAAAGCAAATCGGCAAAACTCAGTCTACAAAGGAGCTAAAGTTGGGCACCAAATATCAGTCTGGGTAAGAGATCAAATATGTTTGACAAAATTATTTGTAAGTGTTTCATTGTGGGGGTAATAAACTCCTTATATTTTCATCAAAGTTTCTCTGTGGTATTGAGAATAGTGATGAAAGAGAATGTTTCATGTTAAACATGAAAATCTCAAGGGATTATTTACGAGTAAACGAAGTACTCGTCAAAATGCATGTAAGTTTGGTCAAAAGAATCAACTTACTTGAGGGCTAATTATGAGGATTAGTCATTGACTCATTGGAAGGGCTTGAAGTCTAAGTGGTAATGAATTCGTGGTGAATCCCACTTCTGTGGTCAAACGAAGCCATGAAAAGAGTTACAAAATAGTACACTAGTTGGTCATTCCGACAGTGTGTGTACTTGTGAGGTTGAGCTACAGCTCTTAATGATTTCATAACTCTTTGAGAAAGGGTGGTTTTATTGAGACAAACCTAATGAATTCACCGCATGTGAGGTTGAGCTACAGCTCTTAATGAATTCATAACTCTTTGAGAAAGGGTGGTTTTGTTGAGACAAACCTAATGAATTCACCGCATAATGACATGAGTACAAAGTGCTCTTGGTGTCTTATACTCAATTGGGATGGTCTATGTTGAGATAGACCTAAAAGAGATCCCTAACTTGAGTAGAAAAGGGCTAACCGCCTCTTATGAAAGATAATGGGATTATCCCAAGAAGCTGAGTAGCTAAGAAACATGGAGATAACCGTGTAATTGTGGGAGTGTCCAACACCTTCACCACATTGTGATTCACAAATTGTCATTTGTGTTGCGCAAAACAATGTCTACTATGGGAAACGTAGACACATAAGAGTCAGACATGAGTCTGTACGGCAGCTAATAATATATGGGGTAATCACAATGGTTTTTGTGAGGTCTGAAAGGAAAATTGCAGATCATTTCACAAAGGGCCTAAACAGAAAGGTCGTCCTTGACGCATCAAGGGAAATGGGTATGGGACCCATAAATACTCTGTAGCCGATCATGGTGGTCTGCGATGAGGTAGACTTGACAGAGTTGAAGGTCTATCCTAGAATAGACCTAACAGGGGATATCTCAGGGTCGTGAGTATGACCTCATGAGATTCAAGGCGACCAAAGCAAATTAAGTGCGTTGAGTTCAAACTTTGTCTATTCGATGAGTTCAAGATCAAATTCACTCCCGTCTAGAGAAGTACTTAATGTCACTATATGACAGTTCAAGTTTTATACACTGGCATGAAAATTTGTTTTGATCGTCAGCAGGCAATGACAGCATCAGCCTAAATCCCTTTAATGGTGGGGGATTGTTGGGAGCGTTTAAAAGTCTGTTTTGTGATAGACTTTGACAGGATAGAAGTCCATATTTGAGACAGACGTAACATTCTTTAATACTAAGGGTGTTCATAAGAAGTCAAAGAGTTTGACTTTTGAAGAACCTGCTTTTTGAGTTGATGTGTGTGTGCATTCGAGTTCAAAATTTATCTAACCGGTGAGCTCAAGATTAACATCACTCCCGGGAAGAAAATTACTCAGTGTCACTACGTGTCAGTTCAAGTTCTCAAACACTGACATTAAGATCAACTCATTTGTATTGCTCAGACCTTACTCTTTTTCCTTTCCTCTTTAAATTTGTGGGGGATTGTTGGGAAAATTCAAAGGAGAAAATGAAGGGTGAATGGCGCATCATGCGCACTTCATGTGTAACAACGCATATTGCGCTTATTTATGGATGGTATGCGTCCTTCCTTTTGTGGAAGGGATGGGGGGGCTGCTTACTATAAATAGCAGCTCCCAACATCGTTTCAAAACACACCTTGAATTCGAGTCATTTATTCGATTCTCCTTCTCCCTCCCGTCGTCTGAGCAATAGTGAGGTTCGCCTACGCGATTGCTAGTGCAAGCTATCCGTAGTAGGTCTGTGTAGCCGGTCGAAAGCGTGCCAGGGTTCTAACTGCACCGTTACCCGGCAAATAACGCTTTTAAGGTAGTGTTATTATAACACGGCACAGATTTCCTTTCAACCATACACCAATAGTGTCCGTGCTTCTTAAAAGGCTTCCAGATCGGGCGTTGGCGTTGCAATTTTCCCCAACATTGAGAGGGCTATCAACGCATATTGGTGGGAATGTGAGGGAGAGGGGAATAGAGGCATTAGATTGAATGCTTGGGAGAAAATGTGTAGTCCAAAGATGTTTGTGGAAGAATGAGTGATGTTAATTTAGCTCTATTGGGTAAGTAAGCTTGAAGGTTATTACAACATCCGGAGTTTATGGTTTCCTTATTATACAAGGCCATGTACTATCCAAATGGAAACTAAAATGGACATTCATCCTTATTTTATATAGTGGAGTATCATGGAGGTTCAAGATATCGTGAAAGATAATATAAGGTGGAGAGTGGGGATGGCAAATCTATCGAAATATGGGAAGATCCTTAGTTACCTGATTATTTTTCCTTGTATATTCAATATGATTCTGATGGAATTACAAGATGTATGTGAAAGTTGAATCCCTATTCTAAATTGATTACAAGAATTGGAATGTTTATATCTTAACAGATCTGTTCAACCAATTTGACAAGGAGTTGATCATGAACATCCCCATCTCTAGATTCAAGTCAAAAGATCAGATAACCTCATATGAAATGATGACCATAAGGGGGAATATTATGTTAAGAGTTGTTACTGGCACATCAAAGAAGAAGTTCATAATTAGGAGGATACTAGCTACTTGGACAAGAGTGTGGTATTTAAATATGGAATAAGGGTCAAATAGGTTATCGAACTGCACACAATAATGCAATTAGGTCACTGAATCTTTAAAAAAAATAATAATAATTGGGTCTCTAAACTAGCCAATTTCATACAATTATTCTAATTTACAGGTTTACATGTCACCCCAAATTTAAAATATTTTTTGAAAAATTATTATTTAAAAATAACTATTGTTCCTTCTTCCAAAAAAAAATAACTATTAATTTTTTTAATAACTATTAATTTTTTTTAAATAATTATCTTTAAATTATAATTTTTTAAAAAATATTTTAAATTTGGAGTAAACTATTATTAACCTGCAAAACTTATAAATTAGACTAATTGTATGAAGAAAGAATGACTAATTAAGCTTGAAGGTTATTACAACATCCGGAGTTTATGGTTTCCTTATTATACTAGTATTTTACCCGTGCGATGCACGGATAAGATTTATACAGTGATCATTTAAGTGATTTTAACATTAACATGAAGAATATTTATGAAGGTTCACATGTAAAGATAAAAGAATATTTGATACTAAAAGAAAAAGTTATTGAACAGATAATACATTGTAATAAATTCAGTAATATTCGAAAAAAAAAATTATTTATTAGTTAGAAATCAATGAAACCAAAAATGCAATGAAAAGTAAGACATGTAAAAACTTAATTACAAATTATTAAAGACTTCATGGTAAATAACATTTGTAGTTGAAGTACAACACGTTTCACCTTCATTGCAAATCAAAATCTTTAAACCTGTTCAGGTTGCTAACTCTGGAAGCAAGAACGTATGCAATGACCATGTACAAACACTGATTTCTAATAATAATGATGATGATAATGATGATGATAATGATGATGATGATGATGATGAT